TTCGTTTGCTGTTCCCCAATTGACTCTGTTGACTATCTAAAAGGGTAAAACCGTATTTTTTTTTTTTTTTTTTTTTTTAAAAAAAAAAAAATTAATAATTTATGATTTCCTTTCTTCTTTATAACTAGTATTGCAGTAACATTAATTGGAAGGCAATGAGGTATTGTAGTCTTCAATATTCACTAGATTATTAATGATTTATTTGCGACCTTTTAGTTAACATCGAAATTTTATATACTGTATTTCTTATATTTCTTTTAAGTCCAAAATGCAGTGTCGAAATTAAATGTCGGAATTGAAGAATAACAATATTAAGAAGGAGCAGTAATAGGCTGTCACCTTCATTTGAGCAAAACTTTTTTGACGAATTTCTCTTCCATACTATTATTGTACCTTTATATTTTTTTATATTATGATTCATTCAATTTATACAATTATTTTAATATTAAAAATTGATTATCAAAAATGTATTATCAGGTGAAATGTGGTTAATATGTTTTTGCTCCATTTTTCAATTTTTTAGCACAATTTGCACAGGATTAAAAAGAATTATTGAAATAATTCACAAATAATATTTGAGTAGCGACTATAGCGCGAAATCATCATTTAATTAAACGAAATTAGGCGAAATTATTTTAGACAAATTAAAATCTAAAATATCTTCCTATGAAATTCATTTCCAAAAAAGGAAACCGTGCGTAAATAATTAGCGAGTTGATTAATCAAATTATAATATTTTTTTCTCATGGTACAATTCATGCAAAAAGAAAAATTACATAACGATAAACCAAATAATTACAACGATCACAAATAATATGCGCGCGTTCGAAGATAGTCTTCCACTATATTGTCAAAGTAAATATCATAGCGTTGAGTAACTTAGGTTTTTATAAATTTACTAAATAACTTTTTCTTCATCTAGTAACTGACCTAACGTCTATGGTTGATGAATACATGGTTACCAACCATACAGGAATAGGGCGTCGTCAAAAGTAAATAGCGTTTAGAAACTTTTAGAAATTATGATAATTTTATAAAGTTACTAATTAAATATTTTTTCTTCATTTAGTAACAGACTGACGCCTATGGTTGATGAATATATGGTCACCAACCATACAGGAATAGGACGTCTTTAAAGTAAATAGCGTTTAAAACCTTTTTAAGAAATTATTGATTGTTTTATAAAATTACTAATTAATTATCACATTTAATAATAATAGTAAGTAAGTCTATGGTTGAAAGTATGTGGTTACCAACCATACAAGAATTGGGCGCCTAGAAGATTGGTTGTTGATGAAGCAAAGTACATCAAGACTAAATATTATAAAGCATATTTAGTCTTGATGTTAATGATATAGTGTTGAACAAGATATGATGTTGGAAATTTAAATTATGAAGATTGTTGTTGGTAAAGGTGGATCATGATGATCATGATGCAGTCTTATTAATACAGCTTTAGCAAATTATCACAAAATTATGTAGGGATAATGTTTGGTATGGTTGTAACATTTGGAACTCGGGATGTTAAGCGGTTCTAAACGGTCCTAAAAGTCCTACTAGTTTTAAAAAAGATTTTTTATTTTACTGTCATTTTATTTTACTTTCTAATGATAATGTATTAATGGAATATTTATTAAAAATAAATAAAACGTTCAGGAATCACAACTTAACGGTCTCATGAAATTTATATGTTATTCATAAAATTTATTATAGCAATTTTTTTAACAAGAATTATTTATTATAGATAGGCGATTAGACTTTCTTAACTAAAAATTTCTAAACTCGTTCGACTGTATAACAATACTGGCGTAAAGGTGGGTGGTAAAATTTGTTTGGTTCCTTTTACTATTTTGCTATTGCAAGAGAAGAAAAAGTTTTGTTATTTAATGTCGCTAAAAAATATTTAAATAAACATTTGTATTAGTTTGTTGATTAAAGCAAAATCGAATTTGACTTTAATATTTCCGCTTAATTATATTAAATAATGGTAAATTATGAAAGTTCTACAAGTATTGTGATACATGTATTAGTAACATCAGAACATATAATTTGAAACAATTCATATTAGTTTTGGCAGACAAAAATGACTGATCGAACCACTACCTACGTCATCATCATTAGCATCACCCAATAATACTTCATCATCAATCATCAATATTAATCCCTTAATATCAATCTAAAATTTCTAATGTAGGAATTTCTTAACTAATTTTGATTTTCTTGAATATAATGTACTGTATAAATTCCCGGTGGTTAATCAGAATTATTTAAGAACAAATAGGTGAATATTTTAATGATCCGGTGGATAAGTGAAATCTGTATAAAAAAATATTATATTATATTCAAGATAATTTAAATATATTAACCAATTATAATAAATTAATATCAGCTTAATAATGCAATGATGATTATACTATTTGATAGTTCTAACGATCCATTTCTGTGATTTCATTTATGCTAAGTATTGATAAATCTTCTAAAACCATAAGTTGAAAAGTATTTTCCAAACCTTAGCTTTTTTTTCATCATGATTATCTTGTTAATGGATCTGTGAAATTTGATTAAATTAATATCTTGTTTAGATAATATATCTATTAAAATATCTTCTAAACCTTCTGCAACCTCTTGTAATTAACTTTTTTAAATATATTTGATTCTAGTTAACATATTTCAAATGATGAACATCAGAATTTTTAATATTATAAGTTTATGCATCTAAACTAAATTTTTTAATTTAAAAAAAAATATTACTAAAATTTAATCAAATACTAAAAATCTTCATAATTGAAACTTACTTTCAAAGAAATATTAGATAGGTTTAACAAATAATTGTCAAAATTAAAAGAGTTTGATAAGGAAAAAATGTTTAAAGATTTTGATAAAAATTTCTACAACTTGATTATATTTCTTTAAAATTTAATATCATTCTTATACAAAGCTATTTTAATAATGATTCATAAATAAATTCAGAAACTATTATAGAAAATACTAGATTTATGTATTTACAATTGATCAAATTTATTAATTCGCAATTTGTCAGAAACGGAAAGAATATGCATAATGTCGATCAGGACAATTTTATATAATTAATTATAAAAAAAACTGTAATTGAAAAAATGTCATGTAATACAAACTCCTGAATTAATGATAAAACGTACCAAATATATATAATAAAAAACGTCACTTAAAACCTAAGCTATTTATTTCATTAAAAAAATTTACACTTTATTTGACAGATTTTGCGTAAATGCCTTGACGGCTCAGAATTATGGGTTCAAAACGTAAAATTACAAAAATTCAAAAGTGAAAAAAAAATGGTTTAAACCCACTTAGATGTCAAATATAGGTATTATATGCAGTTTTTATTATTATTTAGCCATAGCTTTGACCATTGCTTGCTTATGTTAGTGGGAATATCGGCTAATCCAGTTTTCAATTATTTTCAACTGGTATATCACTCTTCTCTAGCTCACCTGTTTTTACTTTTTTTTGTAGTATCTCAAGCATTTCTTTTGCAGAATATTGTTCACTTTTATAGGCGTCACTAGCATGGAAAAAACCTTTCAATAATTTTATTATTCCTTCAGGTATGTATTTTTCACCACCTTATTTTCCATATTCCTGGTTTTCTTTTAAAGTCCAACTGACTTGAAAATAGTTGTTTCTAGAGAAATAACATATATCTGATATTATTATTGCAAGTTATAACAATATTTTTCTATTTTTTTGAATTAGTCGCACTCACTCATTTTCTTTTCCCTTTTTCTTTTTTTTCACCTTTCCTTTCTTCATTCTTAACTCTGTAATATTATTATTTTCCTTGTTTTCCATTGTATCAATTGCCTTTCTTGCCTCTATGTAATAAAAGTGATTAGTTGAATTTTATTGCAAGTTAATTTATAAAAAAAAAATAATTTATTACCTGCTATTTTATTTATTGTTTTACATGCAATATTTTCTCTCAAAATTGCAATTAACTCTTGCCGATTTTCTTTTCATCATAAAATAGGGATTTTCTTTCTAACTCTTCTTTGATATTATTCTTTGTCAACCTGTTTATTTTAGCTATTTCGTTTTAGGAGTTATTGTTCTGATTTGTTGATAGTATTGGAATTATCCATTTGGAATTTGGATTTGGATTTGTAGGTGTAGAAATTGAGAGATTTGATCGAAATTGCTTATCACCTTTCATTGATTTACAAATAGCAGATGGAGAGAAATCATTTCATATTCCAAAATTAGAAAGTGCTCTACCACGTACAAAACCACTGAATTCGCCTTTAACAGACCACTGAAATTCGAACCAATTTGAAATACCAGTCATCACAGGTTTTTTTCTTTTTTCCTTTCGATCTGATTCAATATTTGCAACTGTTACTCCCCTAATACCTTTAATCGCTTCTTCTATATCTTGACCTTCAGATATATCATATTCTAGCCTAACATACCGTTTGATTGTATGAGAAATCTAGAAATAAGTCACAATAGAAGTTTATAAATCACAGTTATAATTTACAACATAACCATCATACTAAATAACCTGAGCATAATGTGAATCGATCGTTGTTTTAGCCTCTCCTGCCTCTAAAAAAATCCAACTTCGGATTTCTACATTATACCAAGATTTCCAGTTTATAATCATAGCCATTAATTCAGCACAATGGTAGTGGGCGCCATTATCAGATAGGATTCTTATCCATTTTGGTTTTTTTTCAAATGAGTTAAAGACAACTTCAAAATATGAAGCTGTGAATAACGCATCTTGAACTGTATCTGAAGACCAATGATCAAAGGCTTTTATTTCTAATTCGTGATTATTAGCTTTTGTATATACTAACATTATATGTAATGTCTATCCAAATTTTCTATAGAAATCTGATTTTACCTCTCGTGCTAATTTTAGCAAAATCTTCATTTTATAATCTACTATAATTATAGCACCTTCTTCATCAAGAGAAAGCAAATTTGCATTAAATTGAGCATTGAGGTATGTCTTGCGTACTTGATGAGACCAGTAATATTGAAGTTTTTTTCAATTTTCCATGATTCGCTTAAAATTATCTGGTATGATATAAGCTAATTGACAAAAAATTCTGATACTTTATTACATTGATCACAATTAGAAGAGTGGGGCTTAACATATTCTCTAAAAGCATATGGAAGATAATGCTCAAGACATTCAACATGATAAGATTGTTCTAGGCAATCTATTTGAAGTTCTTTTTCATATTCACGCTTTAAATGCTGACAAACAGATTCAAGCTCTGTAATTAATTGATTCTAATAATGTATTTTTGAATATTTGTAATTATTGAGTATTTATTTTTATTATTTTTATTAATTATAGCAATATAATTATAATTATAAATAAATAATACATAAAATAATTAGATAATTAATAATTTTTGTAATTTTGATAAACATATTTTCTATTTATTAAAAACTTTATAAAAACATATTATAACATTACATAACTGATAATTTCTTTTTTTGCCAATTTTTATACCAAACTCCACTAAAATATTATTAAAAAAAAAATATATTTACCTGTTGCATTTTTTCACTGATTTTTTCTGTTATCAAATTCCTTAGATCATCAAATACATCATATTCGTAATCAGAACAGATACTATATAAACCTCCTAGATCTTCCCTATACACATAAGGTCCATCTTTTAAATGTGCTAAAAATGTTATCCGTTTCATGCCTGTGGGATACATCTCAAAGAATTTTTACCACAATGTTTCTTTTTGATCTTTTAGATATTTGAGTGGTTCACCAGTTTTCATATCCATCTTGTAAGAACTCAAATTTACAATATTTTTATCAGCAAAAAAATTCTGAAATTGTTTTTCCATTTCATTAGTAGTTCGAACTCATGTAATAATAGGTTTATCTATTACTGCACATCCTGGACCATTAACCTTGCAGTGATGTTTAGCTTTTGCTACTGTTTTAAAAGAAACCTGTTTATAATATAAACCATAATTGTAAATATAAATCAACAAAAACGTAAGATGTATAAGGACTTGATAGTAAGCGTTAGCATAAATAATAACATCATTTACCTTGAGATTTTTTAAAGTTCTTCATATTCAAAATCATTTGCAATAATTGACAAAATTCATATCTTTCCATCATAGCCTGTTTTGCTCTCTTCTAATGATTTTTGAAAACATTTCCAGAATTTATTACTTGAATTAAATACATTTGTTGGAATAGCATTTAGGAATTCGCTATGATATAGAATTTCTAAGGTATTTTGATCCATCAATGGGTTTGAGCTTCATGACCAAAATTCATATTAAATTTGGTAAAATGGTTGGTTTAATTTGACTATAGAGATAATCAATTATTATTAACAAAAATACATTATATTTATTACTTCCGATTGATTCTTAAGAAATAGAGTAATTTTTGTACATCCAGCAGCCCTTAACATTACATGCTATGCTCGAAGTTCACGTTCATTATGCAAATAATTTGACGGATATATTTTCTTTAGCATTCTACGTAATTCAATAATTGTACTTTTCTGTGCAAGCTAAATTTGAAATAATTGTCACCAGTTAATATTACTAAATGTTCGTTTTCTCAAATTATAATTAAAAATATTATTTAAAAGCACTTTATTATCCCAAAACATAGGTAAACATGTAAGAATTCGTTGTTTATTGATAGTATTTCATGTTATTAGATGCTTTAAGCCAAACAATTGTGTTCCACAATAATTTTTATAATATCCCACATTTTGCCATGCTTCTGTTGGAGTAGAACTGAAAAAAAATATTTTCTCATAATCCCTTTGATGTATTGAAATTTCACAATTGTCAGGTTGAATTTTTTGAAAATATAAAGCTCATTTTTTCTTGTATTCACCAATAAATGATGCAATATAATTTTTTATTGTTTTTTTTGTCCACAAATGCTAATATTTGTAATATATATCAAAATATCGTTAACCTTAACAGCAAATGCCTAAAAAGAAATATTTTCCAGTGAAGCTTCCAATAATTCATTATTGTCTCAACCTAAAACTAGTGGTCCAGAAAATTTTATCTTTGAATTAGAAAAAATTCGCTAGTATAAACTCGATATAGCATAACTTGGTGCTATTTTAATATCACTAAATTTACCGCTAAACTAGCACCTGTATCCTGGCAGTATCTTACTATTTTCATTTCCCTCTGTTATATGCATATAAAAGTATCTATTATTTTGTTCTATAACAGTTTTCTAATCTACACGAATAGGATAAAGAAATACGCTTTTTTTTAGTTTGCTGTTGCCTCTCATAATCCACCATTCTTTTGAGTTTACGCCATAATGTAAACGGAGCACTATTTGGCCAATAAAAACTAGTTTAACATCAAGTTTAGGTTATTTATTCATGTTTAGATTGAAAACAGTTAGAGATTCTTGGTATTAACAAATTTTATTATTACTATTATCTCTACCGATTATTATATAAATGTGTTATCAATCTTTTCATTTCTCGTAAATTGTGAATTAAAATACATCTTATTAAATAATAAAAAATATACAACCCATATTGTTTCTCAATATAACTAGATATAATATGAATTATACATCTATATCTTTCTCTTATATAATTTTAGCAAAGTATTACCAATACTTACTGATTGGTTAATCTAAATGGATTTGTAAAGAATCACAATGATAATTATAGTTTAGCTTTTTATTGTTTTTATCTTTAATTTTTATTTTAATTTTATTTGTAATATTATAATATAAATTTAATAAACTTATATTAGTATCATATCAAAAAAAACTAATACTTGCTAATGATATAAATACATTATCTAAGCACTTTTATAAAATATTGAAAATCTAACACATAATTTAAATGTCTATATAAATTTTAAGCTTTTAAATGTCTAATTTTATAGATTTTAATATAAAATAGCAATAGATAATCTTAGCAAGATTTTATTAGGCATTTTTTTACTATTATTCTAATTGTAACTTTAAAAGTTTTTTTACTATATGATGAAAAATATTTGAATTAAATTTTTTAAAAAGCTATAACTACATTAATTAAATCTTTTCATAGCATCTTATAATCAGGTATTAACCAGACCAATAATTATGATTCTGAAAACATCTAAATATAGGACTTGTTTAGTTACATAAGAATCAATTTGTTTTAATACAATTACAAATTTAAAATATCAATAATAAAGTTAATCTGATCAAGAATAATATAATCTTATATTAATAAACTATAGTAATAATAATTAAATTGTTAAAAGATTTAATAATTTTATATGATCTATTTAATATTTATTTGAATATTTTAGTTGTAATGAAAAAAATTAGAATTTTATTTCTATTGATTGTTATAAAAATTTTTTTCGATTTTTTATTATAACAAGATAATTTTTTATTTTTCTTAGATTTTCTGTTAGATGTAAAAAGAATCAGTTGAAGAGACTCCAATATAAAATCTATTAAGAAGAATATTATAATAATTTTATTACCTTTTAAATATCTATTCTATAAATTATTTAACTATTAATTTCAGTCTCTATAGTAATTTTAATAATTAAAAAGAGTAATAAAATTATATCTAAAAATTCTTAAGGAGTATTATAATACAATAAAGTAAAAAAACTAATTAGTCTTAAAGTAATTACTTAATTGACTTTTAACATGAAGCATTTTGATCCTCTTTTTATTTAAAGTTAAATTATATAAAGTTCTAAAATAAAGAAATATTATCAATAACTATAAAAAATATAAGCAATTTATTCTATTGTAACTAAACAAGTCCTATATT